GGGGGCTCGGGGCCCAGGGCTGGGGTACACCCCTGTCCTCTGAGCCCCCCCAGTGCCACCAAACTCCTGTTTCCAGAGCCCCACTGCACCCAACCCCCCCCCCAGAACCTCCCCTCAGTGTCCGTGCTCAGCTGGGAGGCAGCACTGCTGCCTGCATCGCAGCTGCTCTAAGGCTGCCGTGCCGGGCTCCGTGTGGCCCTCCTGTCACACAGCAAAGTGCTCTTGCACAGCTGGAAAGAGACCCCACCCACTGCCCTGCCAAGCCTGGCAACAGCCCAACCCCCGATGAATGCACAGGATCAGTGGTGTCTACGGCGCAAGTGACGGGGGTAAGCACAGGTTTCTGGTGGCTCAAGAGTTCCTCTCCAGGCCATTAACTATTGGGCTCTAGAGGCATCGGGTCATTTGGCCAGTGTTCTCACAGCACCCACCCAACAGCCGGGTGGTACTAGCCCCCAACACCTGCTGGTTTGAGTCAGGGAGCCCAGCTCCTCCCCCTCTTCCCCAACTCCAACTGGTTTTGCCAGCTGCAGCACCGTGGGACTTTAAGAAGTGGCCAGACATGAGGTGAAGATGGGGCAGATATTGTGGACACCCAGCATGGCTCCCTGGGACCTCTAATCTGATCCTCCTCAGTAATATCAATAAAGGCTAGAACACTCAGGGCTGTGAAGGCTCTGTTCCCTGGTCCTGAACACGCCACTCGCAATGGAAAGGACACAGGGCAGCTGCCCACCACGCAGCCGTGCCAGCTGGGCCACGTGGGTGCCACCAGAGCTGGAATCAGGACTGTGATGAGGCTGCCCTTACAGGGACAGCCTCAATGGCGGCCCAGCTCCAGCCATGGCACACTGAGGCAGTCCGCAATGCCACTCGCCATAAGAGGGTGGGAGAACTTTTAGTGGGCATGGCTCATTAGCAGTAAGGATGTTAAGTATCGACTAATTGACTAATCGAATAGTCAGTGCATTTTGCATCAACTATTCGATTAGTTTATAGGGCACCTCCACCTCTGAAGTGTACCAACAGCCCTAGTGCTGTTGCTACACTTCAAAGGCGAAAGCGCCATGGGGAGCCCAGGGTCAGTTAGTGACTCCCTTGCTGACCCCAAGCTCCCTGCGGCATGGCTCTTTTGAAATGCCGTGGGGAGCCTGACACCGGTCTCCCTGCAATGTTTCAAAGTGGCAGAGCCACACGGAGCCTGAGGTCAGTGGGGGAGTCCCTGGCTGATCCCGGGCTCCACACAGCACTGATGCTTTGAAATGCTGCGTGCAGCCTGGTGACACCCCAGCTGGCCCTAGGCTGCATGTGGTGTTTCAAAGCAGCAGCATCACATGGAACCCAGGATCTGGCCCCAGGCTTCAAGCAGCGCTGCCGCTTTGACACATCCTCTCTTCTCTTCCCCCCCTTCTCCCTTGGTTGCCTCTATCTGATGGGGAGGAGAAGGGGGCAAGTGGGGGAACAACTAGTCCCTCACATCCCTAATTAGCAGCTGGGGGTGTGGCCTGGCAGAGTGCCGCGGCCTGCCACTGTTCCGCGGACCAGTGGTTGGGAACCATTGCCTTAGCATGTTGCTTTTTTACTAACTTGCCGTGCATATTTGGTTACATTTACTTAAATTTAAGGTTCTAGTAAACTTCCTCCTTCACAGTAATGGCAGAAAGACTTCCACCAGATCAACTTCTGAGGCCTTTATTCAGTCAGACAACCTGTGAAGTCAACAAGAGTGCCTGAATAAGGGCTGCAGGATCAGGTTCTAAATGTTTTGATGATGAAATGCAACCCAAGGTTAATGTGCTGATTCTTTTTCTTCGCAGGAGGTCTCCTCATCTGTTTACCACGTGAACAGGCAGCCCGTTTCTGTGCTGAGATCAAATCTCCAAAATATGGCGAGGGTCACCAAGCATGGATTATTGGGATTGTAGAGAAAGGCAATCGTACTGCCAGAATTATAGATAAACCACGAATCATTGAAGTTGCACCACAAGTGGCCACTCAAAATGTGAACCCGACACCTGGTGCCACTTCTTAATTTAGATTAAATAGCGATTTGTTTTGTTTTTAAATAGATCTATTCCTTTATCATCTTACAATTTAAAGAACTGTTTAAAAAAAAAAAAGAACCTTCGTGTCTGCACATCTGATGGCCTTAGGTCAGTTTGAGTGGATACAATTAATAAAATATAAAATCCATTGCCTTTTTTTCCTGTTACATTAACTGAAGATGCACCTAATCTTGAGGCAGCTTCTGAGTTGAGAATTATATTGTTATCCAATACTGTTGATTCATTTTGAATCTTTAGACACTTATCTCTTGCCGCATAGGCTCTTTTTAAAGGTGCTTTCACGTAGCACAGACATTACCAGTAGTAGTGTCAAATAGCAGTGTGTGTCCTTTCATTATATGTATATTTATCATTACGTCTAATTTTGGATGCCTTGAATGATCTTCTGGAAAGGCAGTAAATTGATAGGTGACACAGTGGGTATACTCAAGTAGTAAGAGGGTTGCATGATTACATTCAGTCATTGGTTTGTAAAGTTTAGTTTTATCAGAGCGTTACAACCCTGGACATTGCTTGGTACCACACTCTGTTAATCAAGCAAGTGCTAACTTTGCATGGAAGGCACTTCATAGTTGAAGGAGAAATTTTAATTTCATTATTTGTAGACCTGACAATATTTACTGTATTATCAATAATTGTTTTCTTTATTGATAGTAAGGAAAAATAATAATTGCTCAGTTTTGCAACGTGATTGGATGTGCTATATTACAACAAAGGAATTGCAGACCAAAAGGAGTTTTCTGTATAATATTCATTTACAATTCACTATATAATTAACTACACAAATAATTTTTAAATATAATCACTTCAAAAACAAACCTCTGTTCTGTGGATGGTAGTGTTTAATACATTTTACATTTTTGTATAGTGATTACAAATCTTTTTTCTTTAAAATCAGCAGCTATTTAGTATAATTTTAGTATTTTTGTTCTTTGCTCAAATACCTTTGTGAACGCTTCTGTGATCTGTGTTTAAAATCTACATTGCCAACTTTGCAGCTTGAACTTAAGCTTGTTATTCAAATAAATATTTAATTTTTTTTATTGCTCTTGTACAAGTGCATGACCTTTTTGATTTGTACTTAAATTACAGGGATAGAAAACATCCTACCTATGTTTTTAAAAATGTGGACTTACTAGGTCAAGTTTTAATAGGAAGGATGTGAAAGTTGTTCCATCCAGCTTGACATGTCTTGTGATGTCAGTTGTAGGACGAGTTGCTTATATAAAAATGTCTTATTCTTTTTATTAAGAAGTATGAACTCTGGGATGATTTTTTAATCAGTTCATCCATAAGTCAGCAGTTAACTCCTGTTGTAAGACACCCAAATGAGATTCCATTTAGCAGTGGAAAGAATGCATCTTCTCTTAGGGAGCTAGTCTCAGCCCATCCTTGGGGCAAAGAGTTTATGAACAGAGGCAGAGTAATAACAAAAGGCTTGTCATTTACAGTGAAGTAAGGATTGTCTGATCTGAAAAGCATAGGCAGGTACTCTAGTCAAAAGATAAGAAACAAAAGTGGGCTAAGGGGAGTCTTGCTAGGGAGTTTAGAGGCAGAGTTTGAGGGAGTGCTAGATACACTTTAAACTAAACCCAAACCACCTGATTTTAAAAAATAAACATCAAGAAAGGATAAGCTCTAGGAGTAAAAAGAAAATGCAGGTAGAAGCCCATCAGAATGGGTGCTGTCCTATCTATTGTACCTAATGTAGCATGTATGATAACTTGCCTTATGTGCAGGTGGTGTATGTTTGCATTTTGGTGCAAGGAGCTCCTGGCCCTCAAGGCCTATGTACAGGCTTTGGAGACCAGAGTGGCTGAACTGGAAGAATGAAGGGAAGCAGAGATGGGACTTTCTGGGTCATAGAGTGGTATCCTCTCCAGTCAGTCAGCCTCTGTGCTGTTGGGGAGAGCGAAAATCTCATGGAAGGAGAACATCCAACTGGAACAGGGGAATTATCCCATAGTTGGGACCTTCCTTCTAGATGATGTGGTCCTCTTGCACTGAGGATACATCTCGGGGGGGGAGTGAACTCCAGTAGAAATAGACAGCTGGGTTTGTGATGACCAGAAGAACAGCCTGGTGACTTGCCTTCCTGGAGATTGCAGGTCTCTCAAGACATCCAGATAGGGTTGTGTAGTGCTGGGGAGAAGCCAGTGGTCCTGGGACATGGGAAGGACAGAGAGGTCCTAGAGGCCAAGTTTAGGCTGCTAGGTAAGAGATTAAAAGCCAGATTCTCCATGGTAGCATTTTCTGAAATGCTTCCAGTTCCATGCTCTGGGCTAGTTAGGCAGAACTGCAGGGTCTCAGTGCATGAATGACTAATGGTTTAGGGAGGAAGGGCTTAGATTTCTTAAGAACTGAGGGAACTTTGGGGAAGGGGAAGCCTATACAGGAAGGATGGAATTAGATTGCTGGCACTTAAAATTAAAAAGGTCATAGAACAGTTTTTAAGTTAAGGGTTGGGGAGAAAGCTGTTGCACTGTATGTGAAAGAAAGTATAGAATTAAATGAGGTAAAAATATTAAAGCAATTTGTACTATAGAATCTCCATGGGTAGGGATATATTACCAACCACCTGACCAGGCTGGTGATAGTGACTGAAATGCTAAGGGAGATTAGAGAGGCTATGAAAATTAAAAAAAAAAAAAAAAAACGGGGGGTGGGATTTCAACTCTCTCCATATTGACTGGGTATTGTCACCTCTGGGTGGAATGCAGAGAAAGTCTGACACCTTAAATGAGTGTTGCTTGGAGCAGCTGGCTCTAGAACCTACAAGAAGAGAGGCAATTCTTGATTTAGTCCTAAGTGGAGCACAGGATCTGGTTCAAGAGGTGAATAAAGCTGGACCACTTGGAAATAGTGAATGAATTAAATTTAGTATCCCTCTGGTGGGGGGAGAGGGGGACAACACAACAGCCCAATACAGTGGCAATTAATTTCAGAAAGGTAAACTACACAAAATGAGGTTAAACAGAAATTAAAAGTTGCCGTTCTCAAACAGGAAAAATTTCAAAAACAGACTGCAGAAAAAAACTGCTAATCTGGCATTCATATGCAAATGTGGCACCTGAACCAAGGTCTAAACGAACACAGGGCTGTGTCTAGACTGCTTGAATTTCCGCAATCTCATGTAAGATTACTGACGATCTCATGTAAGAAATCAGTGCTTCTTGCGGAAATACTATGCTGCTCCCATTTGGGCAAAAGGGCCAGTGTAGACAGCTGAGATTTGTTTTGCGCAAAAAAGCCCCCGATCGCGAAAATGGCGATCGGGGCTTTCTTGCGCAAAACCGCGTCTAGATCGGCACGGACGCTTTTCCGCAGAAAGTGCTTTTGCGGAAAAGCATCCATGCCAATCTAGACGCTCTTTTCTGCAAATGCTTTTAACGGGAAAAACTTTTCCGTTAAAAGCATTTGCGGAAAATCATGCCAGTCTAGACGTAGCCATGGAGTGGTTCTTGCATTTCAATAAGTAATTTCCCACTCAGGTTCTCTCACCCCTGTGGGGAATGAGCCATAGCCATTCTGATTTAATTAGCTCTGATGTCAGTCCCATCTCTGTATCCTTTTTTTTTCCCCCTCTTTTTCTTTCTCTGAGAGTGAATTGTAGCTCACAGAAGCTTATGCTCTTAATATCCTAATAAATCTGTTAGTCTTTAAAATGCCACCAGACTCCTTGTTGTGTTTGCTAATACAGATTATCATGGCTATCTTTCTGAAACCAGAAATTGCACCTTTTAATGTCAGAAGTGAAATCCCTGCAGGCTGCATGAAAACTTTTCAAAGACACCATAATAGAGATTCTAATTAAATAAGGGAACCAAAAAAGTGCCTCAAGGGCTTGGCTTAACCAAGTAAAAGAAGCAGTGAGAATTTAAAAAAATGTTTTAAAAGTGAAAGTTAAACTGTCTTGAGGAAAATAGAAAGGAGCATACACTCTGGCAAATAAAGTGTAAAAATACAATTAGGAAGGCCTAAAAACAAGAACAGTTAGCCAAAAATTCAAATAGCAATTTTTAAAGTACATCAGGAAGC